TCGTCCTCCCGTCACCCTAAGCTCAGTATATAGGGAGCTACAGCTCGCGGTATACTGAGACGCCGCAGCCGGAGCGGATCCCGACTTAGACGTCGGGATCCGCCCAGCTGCGTGAGTGACAGCGGGCTCTGCCTATCTAGAGGCAGAGCCAGCTGTACCCGCCCCCTCCCCCGTCCATTCCGCCAGTCAGCGCTGGCGGATCGGAGCGGGGAGAGGGGAATCCAGCCCCTCCCCCTGTCACGGCACAGAGCCGTGACAGGATTGAGAGGTGAGCGAACGCCGTTATGTGTTCGCTCACCTCCCGATCTACCGAGCCGACCTGTGACAGTCTCATTGTCACAGGTCGGCTAGAACTATGAGGTGAGTGGAAATCACTCATCTCATAGTTCTCCTTTAAGGTGAGATGGGCTGGAAGTATGGCCATAAGGGAGCTCCATCCATATGTTCATTGCTGATAGCTCCCACATGTGCCCTGTAGAGGTGCCTGGACTGAAGTCACATTCTGGGTCCTGGCACCTCTACGGGGGGGCGCGAATGGATGGATGGATGTATGTATGTATGGATGGATGTATGGATGGAGCTCCGTCACAGCACAGCAGCCAACAATGGACCCCAAGATGAGGATCGACTCCAGTTCTCATAAGGTAGGGATCTTAAGAAATAGAAAATTATAATTTTTCTTGAAGTGTGTATATGTGTGTGCGAGAATGTCTGTGTGCGTCTGTCAGTGTTTTGAGGGTCTGTTCACACTAGTGCAGTGCGTTAATGCACCGTACCACGCAATCGCACGAATGCCGGCTACTGCAATGCCGTGCATTCCATTGCAGTGCAACTTGGGTCGCGACTTAATGACCGAGGACAATTGAGGGTCCTGAGCTTACACAGATTGAGAACCGCTGCTCTAGAGGGATGTGAACTACCATTGGTATGCAAAGGACTGATATACATTGAAAATAATTTTATGCCACACAATGCTTAACATCTATGCAAACCCCCAAAATCTACCTTTCGGTAGGTTTGGCATCATGCCTCCCTGCATACAATTTTCTTAAGGCGGAAGTAAACTCTGGTTTCTGCTGCCACAAAAACCACTCACAAGGTCAAACACATGCTGGGTTTTGGGGTGTAGGCCTTTTTTTCCCCGCTTACGTTGAAGCGGGCGCCATCTTTGATGCTTTCTTCCATATACATCCGAGGACCCTGCTTCCACCCTCAACGGATATCATTGAGAAATGTTGCGCATGCGCAGTCAAAAAGGGAGTCAAGCCTTGCTTTGCATGCCAAGTTACCATGGTGCCATGACATGTCATCGAGTGCTTCCTAACCCCCTATTACATCGCTGGTCACATGGGGGTTTCGGAAAGAAAGAGGAGAATCATGGGAGCAGAGCACCTTGCTGGAGACAGATGATGATGTAGTCATGGCAAGGCGCTCTGCAGATCTCGGCGTGGCCAGGATGCGCATGTGCGAATGACGTAGTCAGAAGTAAATACAGAGATATCTCAGCAATGGGGAAGCTTTGGAGGATTTTGCGGCTGATCAAATCCCGTATGTACTATGTGCTTGCTGATGATAGAAGGTTGAAAACCTGAGTTTAGTTCCACTTTAAGCAAATTGTCTCTGGTGACTCTGTTGCAAAGGTTCTGACCTGGAGATCCTGCCAGTAGCGACACTTCCTGTTGCGGGTTCACAGCCATCAGAAATTTTGGGGCCCCTTACACGGCTTTGGCCCCCCCCCCCCTCCCGGACGCAGGTCTTAGTGACACGCTGGACACAGGACCCACCTGAGAGTGACCCTGCAGAGCCCACCCCTCCCTCCTTTCCTTCCTCCCTCCCTTCCCAGCTCCTCTTCCCTGCACACATGGCCTCGTCTGCCGCCGGACCGGCCAGAAGTGACGTCACTTCCGGCCAGTCCGACATCAGACGAGCAGGCCTGGCCCCAGCTTGTCTCGAAGCCGCTGGAGCGGCAATGCTGGGGCCCTGCGCTGCTAGGGCCAGGCCTCCTCGCCCTTCACCGTCGGCCTATAGTCATGTAAGGGACCCGGGCGGGCCCCCGAGGCCCCTTACATGAGTATCGGCCGTACCCTCCTGATGGCTGCCCTGGCCTTACAAATCAGTAGCACCATAGTAGGGACTTCCCTCCATGATGTCTGCAGCAGACAGTCATGTAAGTAAAAGCATGATGTAGCTTAAAATTATTTGAAAAGGTAAAAAAGGGAAAGTTTTAGGGGCCCGTTTATAAATCTTCTCCCCAGCTACACGCTGAGCGAATGATGTCGGCACAGCATTCCCGCCACTAGATGGATGCTCCTTGGCTCCCTCTAGTGG